TCCTTTCCGAGAGGAGGCGCATCATTTTCTGAGGGGAGGTGCATCATTTTCTGAGAGGAGGCGTATCACTTTCTGGGAGGAGGCGCGTAATTTCTGGGAGGAGGCGCGTCATTTCTGAGAGGAGGCGCATCATTTCTGGGAGGAGGCGCATAATTTTCTGGGAGGAGGCGCGTCATTTCTGGGAGGAGGCGCATCATTTTCTGAGAGACGGCGCATCATTTCTGGAGAGGAGGCGGGTCATTTCTGAGAGGAGGCGCATCATTTCTGGAAGGAGGCGCATCATTTTCTGAGAGGAGGCGCATCATTTTCTGTGAGGAGACGCATCCTTTCTGAGAGGAGGCGCATCATTTTCTGAGAGGAGGCGTATCATTTTCTGGGAGGAGGCGCGTCATTTCTGAGAGTAGGCTCATCATTTCTAGGAGGAGGCGCATCATTTTCTGAGAGGAGGCGCATCATTTTCTGAGAGGAGGCGCGTCATTTCTGAGATCAGGCTTATCATTTTCTGGGAGGAGGCGCATCATTTTCTGAGAGGAGGCGTATCATTTTCTGAGAGGAGGCGCATCATTTCTGGGAGGAGGCGCATTATTTTCTGAGAGGAGACGCCTCATTTCTGAGTTCAGTCGTATCATTTTCTGGGAGGAGGCACATCATTTTCTGAGAGGAGACGCCTCATTTCTGAGTTCAGTCGTATCATTTTCTGGGAGGAGGCACATCATTTTCTGAGAGGAGACGCCTCATTTCTGAGTTCAGAGTATCATTTTATGGGGAGGCGCATCATTATCTGGGATGAGGCGCAACATTTTTGAGAGGAGACGCCTCATTTAAGAGTTCAGGCGCATCATTTCTGAGAGCAGGTGCATCATTTCTGGGAGGAGGCGCATCATTTTCTGGGAGGAGGCGCATTATTTTCTGGGAGGAGGCGCATCATTTTTCTGAGTTCAGGCGTATCATTTTTTCTGGGAGGAGCGCGTCATTTCTGGGAGAAGGCGCGTCATTTCTGAGAGGAGGCGCTTCATTTCTGGGAGGAGGCGCATCATTTTTCTGAGAGGAGGCGCCTCATTTCTGAGATCAGGCTTATCATTTTCTGGGAGGAGACACGTCATTTCTGAGAGGAGGCGCATCATATCTGAGGAGGAGACGCTTCATTTAAGAGTTCAGGTTTATCATTTTCAGAGAGGAGGGGGCGTCATTTTCTGGGAGGAGGCGCATCTTTTCTCAGAGGAGGCGCATCGTTTTTTCTGGGAGGAGGCCCATCATTTTCTGAGAGGCATCATTTCTGGGAGGAGACGCATCATTTTTCTAAGAGGAGGCGCCTCATTTCTGAGTGGAGGTGCATCATGTTTTGGAGTAGGCGCATTTTTTATGAGAGGAGGCGTATCCTTTTCTGAGAGGAGGCACATCATTTTCTGGGAGGAAGCGCATCTTTTCTGAGAGGAGGCGCATCATTTTCTGGGAGGAGGCGCATACATTTCTGAGAGGAGGCGCATCATTTTCTGGGAGGAAGCACGTCATTTTTGAGAAGAGGCGCATTATTTCTGAGTGGAGGGGCATCATTTTCTGGGAAGAGGCGCATCCTTTCTGAGGGGGAGGCGCATCCTTTCTGAGAGAAGCATATTATTTAATGAGGGGAGGCGCATCATTTTCTGAGAGGAGACGTCTCATTTTTCTGAGAGAGGGGCCTCATTTTTTGAGGGAGGCGCAACATTTTTTGAGAGGAGGATTTCGGAGTTCAGGCGTATCATTTTCTGAGAGGAGGCACATCATTTTCTGAGAGGAGGCGCATCATTTTCTGAAAGGAGGGCATCATAGAGTTCAGGCGTATCATTTTCTGGGAGGAGGCACAACATATCTGAGAGGAGGCGCATAATTTCTGGGGGAGGCGTATCATTTTCTCAGAGGAGACGCCTCATTTTCTGGGAGGAGGCGCATCATTTCTGAGAGGAGGCGCATCATTTCTGAGAGGAGGCGTATCATTTTCTGAGAGGAGGCCCATCATTTCTGGGAGGAGGCGCATTATTTTCTGAGAGGAGACGCCACTTTTCTGAGTTCAGTCGTATCATTTTCTGGGAGGAGGCGCATCATTTTCTGAGAGGAGACGCCACATTTCTGAGTTCAGTCGTATCATTTTATGGGAGGCGCATCATTTTTTCTGGGAGGAGGCGCGTCATTTCTGGGAGGAGGCGCATCATTTTCTGAGAGACGCATCATTTCTGAGAGGAGGCGGGTCATTTCTGAGAGGAGGCGCATCATTTCTGGAAGGCGCATTTTTTCTGAGGAGGCGCATCATTTTTGAGGAGACGCATCCTTTCTGAGAGGAGGCGCATCAGAGGAGGCGTATCATTTTCTGGGAGGAGGCGCGTCATTTCTGAGAGTAGGCTCATCATTTCTAGGAGAGGCGCATCATTTTCTGAGAGGAGGCGCATCATTTTCTGAGAGGAGGCGCGTCATTTCTGAGATCAGGCTTATCATTTTCTGGGAGGAGGCGCATCATTTTCTGAGAGGAGGCGTATCATTTTTTCTGAGAGGAGGCGCATCATTTCTGGGAGGAGGCGCATTATTTTCTGAGAGGAGACGCCTCATTTTCTGAGTTCAGTCGTATCATTTTCTGGGGGAGCACATCATTTTCTGAGAGGGACGCCTCATTTCTGAGTTCAGTCGTATCATTTTCTGGGAGGAGGCACATCATTTTCTGAGAGGAGACGCCTCATTTCTGAGTTCAGTCGTATCATTTTATGGGAGGAGGCGCATCATTATCTGGGATGAGGCGCAACATTTTCTGAGAGGAGACGCCTCATTTAAGAGTTCAGGCGCATCATTTCTGAGAGCAGGTGCATCATTTCTGGGAGGAGGCGCATCATTTTCTGGGAGGAGGCGCATTATTTTCTGGGAGGAGGCGCATCATTTCTGAGTTCAGGCGTATCATTTTCTGGGAGGAGGCGCGTCATTTCTGGGAGAAGGCGCGTCATTTCTGAGAGGAGGCGCTTCATTTCTGGGAGGAGGCGCATCATTTTCTGAGAGGAGGCGCCTCATTTCTGAGATCAGGCTTATCATTTTCTGGGAGGAGACACGTCATTTCTGAGAGGAGGCGCATCATATCTGAGTGGAGGCGCATCTTGTTCTGAGAGGAGACGCTTCATTTAAGAGTTCAGGTTTATCATTTTCAGAGAGGAGGGGCGTCATTTTCTGGGAGGAGGCGCATCTTTTCTCAGAGGAGGCGCATCGTTTTCTGGGAGGAGGCCCATCATTTTCTGAGAGGAGGCGCATCATTTCTGGGAGGAGACGCATCATTTTCTAAGAGGAGGCGCCTCATTTCTGAGTGGAGGTGCATCATGTTTTGGAGTAGGCGCATTTTTTATGAGAGGAGGCGTATCCTTTTCTGAGAGGAGGCACATCATTTTCTGGGAGGAAGCGCATCTTTTCTGAGAGGAGGCGCATCATTTTCTGGGAGGAGGCGCATACATTTCTGAGAGGAGGCGCATCATTTTCTGGGAGGAAGCACGTCATTTTTGAGAAGAGGCGCATTATTTCTGAGTGGAGGGGCATCATTTTCTGGGAAGAGGCGCATCCTTTCTGAGGGGGAGGCGCATCCTTTCTGAGAGAAGCATATTATTTAATGAGGGGAGGCGCATCATTTTCTGAGAGGAGACGTCTCATTTTCTGAGAGGAGGGGCCTCATTTTCTGAGGGGAGGCGCAACATTTTTTGAGAGGAGACGCTTCATTTCGGAGTTCAGGCGTATCATTTTCTGAGAGGAGGCACATCATTTTCTGAGAGGAGGCGCATCATTTTCTGAAAGGAGGTGCATCATATCTGAGTTCAGGCGTATCATTTTCTGGGAGGAGGCACAACATATCTGAGAGGAGGCGCATAATTTCTGGGAGGAGGCGTATCATTTTCTCAGAGGAGACGCCTCATTTTCTGGGAGGAGGCGCATCATTTCTGAGAGGAGGCGCATCATTTCTGAGAGGAGGCGTATCATTTTCTGAGAGGAGGCCCATCATTTCTGGGAGGAGGCGCATTATTTTCTGAGAGGAGACGCCACTTTTCTGAGTTCAGTCGTATCATTTTCTGGGAGGAGGCACATCATTTTCTGAGAGGAGACGCCACATTTCTGAGTTCAGTCGTATCATTTTATGGGAGGAGACGCATCATTTTCTGGGAGGAAGCGCGTTATTTCTGAGTTCAGTCGTATCATTTTCAGGGAGGAGGCGCATCATTTCTGAGAGGAGGCTCATCATTTCTGGGAGGAGGCGCAACATTTTCTGACAGGAGACGCCTCATTTAAGAGTTCATGCGCATCATTTCTGAGAGGAGGCGCCTCCTTTCTGGGAGGAGGCGCATTATTTTCTGGGAGGAGGCGCATCATTTTCTTAGAGGAGGCGCTTCATTTCTGATTTCAGGCGTATCATTTTCTGGGAGGAGGCGCGTCATTTCTTAGAGGAGGCGCATCATTTCTGGGAGGAGGCGCATCATTTTCTGAGAGGAGACGCCTCATTTAACAGTTCAGGCGTATCATTTTCTGGGAGAGGCGCATCATTTCTGAGAGGAGGCGCGTCATTTCTGGGAGGTGGCGCATCGTTTTCTGGGAGGAGGCGCATCATTTTCTGAGATGAGGCGCGTCATTTCTGAGTGGAGGTGCATCATTTCTGGGAGGAGTCGCATCATTTTTCAGAGAGGAGGGGCGTCATTTTCTGGGAGGAGGCTTATCTTTTCTCAGAGGAGGCGCATCGTTTTCTGGGAGGAGGCCCATCATATTCTGAGAGGAGGCGCATTATTTCTGGGAGGAGACGCATCATTTTCTAAGAGGAGGCGCCTCATTTCTGAGTGGAGGTGCATCATGTTTTGGAGTAGGCGCATTTTTTTATGAGAGGAGGCGTATCCTTTTCTGAGAGGAGGCACATCATTTTCTGGGAGGAAGCGCATCTTTTCTGAGAGGAGGCGCATCATTTTCTGAGAGGAGGCGCCTCATTTCTGAGAGGAGGCGAATCGTTTTCTGGGAGGATGCGCATCATATCTGAGAGGAGGTGCATCATTTTCTGGGAGAAGGCGCGTCATTTCTTAGAGGAGGCGCATCATTTCTGGGAGGATGCGCGTCATTTTCTGAGAGGAGACGCCTCATTTAAAAGTTCAGGCGTATCATTTTCTGGGAGAGGCGCATCATTTCTGAGAGGAGACGCATCATTTCTGGGAGGAGGTGCATCGTTTTCTGGGAGGAGGCGCATCATTTTCTGAGATGAGGCGCGTCATTTCTGAGTGGAGGTGCATTATTTCTGGGAAGAGTCGCATCATTTTCTGAGAGGAGGGGCGTCATTTTCTGGGAGGAGGTGCATCTTTTCTCAGAGGAGGCGCATCGTTTTCTGGGAGGAGGTTCATGATTTTCTGAGAGGAGGCACATCATTTCTGGGAGGAGACGCATCATTTTCTAAGAGGAGGAGACTCATTTCTGAGTGTAGGTGCATCATGTTTTGCAGGAGGCGCATCCTTTTATGAGGAGGCGTATCCTTTTCTGAGAGGAGGTACATCTTTTTCTGGGCGGAAGCGCATCTTTTCTGAGAGGAGGCGCATCATTTTCTGAGAGGAGGCGCCTCATTTCTGAGAGGAGGCAAATCGTTTTTTGGGAGGATGCGCTTCATATCTGAGAGGAGGTGCATCATTTTCTGGGAGGGTGCGCATCATTTCTGAGAGGAGGTGCATCATTTTCTGGGAGGAGGCGCATCATTTCCGAGAGGAGGTGCATCCTTTTCTGGGAGGAGGTGCTTCATTTTCTGGGAGAAGGCGCGTCATTTCTGAGAGGAGGCGTATCATTTTCTGGGATGAGGCGCGTCATTTGTCATGATCAGCTGACCGATCACATCTCACAATGACACGTCCATCGACGACTTCTGATTTAGCTCCGTCTACCCAATTTCAGTCACCTTTTCAAATAGACACGCAGGGATCACCACCCTAGACCGTTAACATCAAAAAGTCACTTTCCTGACGAAACCGACTATCATGAGATTCGAACCCGTGTTTGATGCTCGGAAAGCGAACATTCTAACCACTCTCATATTACACTTGTTGCAACTGATCCTTATATCGATGTTTTTGAACCTGTTCAAATTACCTAAGAATGCACGGTATAAGTAGCACAACACTTGGCGAATACTTCAAATAACCTAATGATATTAAATACGCTAAATTCCTTTGTGTCACTCGTGCAAAACACAGATGGCTAGGTCACACGATAAATGCAAAAAGAAAAAAGAAAAGAAAAATAATCACTAAGTCTGCAGATGGTTGCTTACTTCTATCCCTTAAAGGCATTTCACGTTAAACGAAATTACATTAAAACGAATTTCAAAATATCCTGTTTTGCCCTGGCCTAATTGAAGTTGAATGTAGAATGTTCTTTCTCGATCAGGAATATGGGCGTCAATTTAATTTACGTTCAAGGTTCTTCTATTTTCAAGAACAGTTATATCTCTTTGATGTCCATAAATGTCTTTTGTTTGCAAAACGAAAACAAACCAAATCTTTAACCTTTATCCTTTTCTTTCTGACATCATTTAATTTTTGCTTCTTTTTTTTTTTTTTTTTGTTTTAATTACCTTGCCATGCTGGGATCGTTTGACATCTTTGTAGTAAGTTAAAATTGATGTTATTGTCCAATTCACACTCTTAATCTAACATGTCTCAATTTTCACAAAACTTCGTCAGAAACTAAGACACGGAGAAAAAAACAGTGGTCGTGTCACTTTTGTATGGCTTGCCTTTCATTGGTCAGTCATGTATGACTTGCATTATAACCGCAAATATGTAAGTTTGTGAACATTCTAATTTATGCATATGGGCATCAGATGATATTCGTATATATATATATATATATATATATATATATATATATATATATATATGAAATCATCCACTGACAGACTGAGAGCTCAATGTTAATTCAGAGTGAATAATTTAATTTAAAGAAAAACAAACAACTTTAAGGCTCCATTTGTAATAATTTATTTCACCAGAGAATTTTATTTTTCTCTGGATCTTCAGACTTCACTTTCAAAGGTGAAACGAAAAATGAATTTAAAATTTAGACTTTTGACGGGCAGTATTAAGCTTATATAAGTTGACATAGAAGGTGGTGAAAAATAGTGTGAGAGACATGGTCGAGAATAGAGAGGGAAGGGAGAGTTTTAAAATTTTATTTTATTTTATATTACAATACTTAATATTGAGGAGGAGGGGGTAAGGATCAGACACTGGCCAATTATTCGGTCAACTGAACGGAAAAGATATGCGAAAAATGAAAACAGAAAAGAAGGGGAAAAGGAAGAAAAAATGGAGTAATTTAATTATATATATATATATATATATATATATATATATATATATATATCGTAGACCAATGACCAAGTCGAAATAACCACACCATAAAAAACAAATAAGCACTTCCCATTGCTTATTACAGTACTTATGATATGTACATACAGTGTTCTGAATAAAATAATCAATTTTCACCTTATCTTCCAGCGATATAGCCTTGCGCTTAGCATTAGCACTAGCAGTGGGACTTTTCTTCGGAGCCATGGGCAAAAATGTATTCTAAATGTATTTTATAGTATAAATAATATTTTTTAAAATTTACTTAATTTTGAATTTGTATTTGTTTATTGTTATTTTAGTATTTTGACGTTTCTAATATTTCTAACAATCGACGTAACCTCGAGAAAAAGCGTGTTTTATTTTTCATATATTTAAGAAAAAGCGACGTATCTTCGAAAATGACTTAACTCGAATCGATTTAATTCGAGGTATTACTGTAGCTCTTTCATGTCTACAAAGGCCTTTTCCTTGCAAAACGAAAACACACCAAATGTTTAATCTTTACCCTTTTCTTTCTTACATGATTTAATTTTTGCTCATTTTTTTCTGTTTTTAGATGTCCTGTCATGCTGAGACTGTTTGACATCATACTATTAAGTTAAAATTAATGTTATTGTCCGATTCACACTCCGCTATTTTGAAAAGGAGTAGAGGTTGACTCCGGTCTTTTAATTTAACCATTGAAATGGCTAGACGCAACCGTAAGTTCTATGCTAACAGTTTTTTTCTATCGCACTCCTCGCTTCTGGAACTCTCTTTCAGCAAATTGCTTCCCACTGAACTTTGATCTTCAAAAATTTAATTGAAATGTCAACCGTTATCTTCTGTCTTCTTAATTCGTTTTCCTTTATTGTCTTCTCTTCTTAATAGCATATTTTTCTCATATTCTCTAACATTCATTAACACCTTGTGTCTTAGTAGCTTTATTGCATTGCTTGGTGTCGAATGATTAAAAAAAAAGGATTGGGTTTCCGGTTCCTTTCAAAGTCTTCTCATTCTCTTTCACTCCCTTTAGACCTTTGTGTCTTAGTGGCCTTGCTTGGGGCGAGTTAAGAGTAAAAAAAAAGACGCATCAGATCAAGACTCTCATATTGGTTGTCATTCAAGGCGTCCAACTCGCTCAGAAATGTCTAAACCAAGCCTGCACAAAATATGGCCCTGAGGAGACTTGCGGCCCGCGTGACTAGAAAAATCGGCGTCATTTCTTGAGAAACTCTTTTGAGGGAATATATTTTATAAATTTCAACCGACTGTAACTGTTCGATAAATAAGTGTCGATTGTTTCCTTATAAGGAAACGGTTGCTTTCATTATTTCCATTATAGGGCTGGTGCGTAAGTTTCCAGCATTATACAAAAACGACAACAACTCAGTTCCCTTAGGTTTTCTTTTGGAATCTCAGGCCAAAGCCTCGCCACACTAGTGTCATAGCTTCACCACGCTAGGTTTCGCTGTAGTGGCTTCCATAACAAAGAGGTTTTTATGGGGTTTTAATAGACTTTTAAATGCAAAGATATCTTTCGAGAATGCTTGCCAGCCCAGTCTTGGTGATTCTAATTTCCACTGCTATTTAACTCATAATTTGGTAGGGAAGAGATGGATTCATGCCTTAACAAGGGGCGCTAGTACGGGAGTGAACGCAACGAACTATGCTAGAATTTGAACTCGTCGATGGCCGCAACACAGTCTGTATATTGGTCGTATCATTATTCTGTTCGCAAACACTTTTCCACAGTTTTGACTAAATTGTAGTAAGGTTCAAAGCTACTTGTTTATTTAGGTATCCAAAAGTAAACGGAAAAATTCCTGATAACGAAGCCAAAAATTGAACGATTCAGTGAGCAGACAGACGGCTTTTTTATGGTAAGTTGTTTTAACTCATCCATTAATTTGGTCTAAGTAAACATTTATAATAAATAGTGGGATTTTATGAATCCATTGTTTGATTACCCAGCCTTGTCGATCAGGGAACTTCCTTAATATACGCTAGGAGGCGTTGTTATACAAGGAGTTCTTACCAAGACGTCTGCTGTACGGAGAGCTCCTGCAAGCGTTAGAAAAAGAAAGGACTCAATCCTCTTTCTTTCTTCCTCTCTCTCTCTCTTTCTCACACACACACACACTTTCTTTCTCTCTCTCTCACACACATTCTTTCTTTCTTTCTTTCTTTCAGACAAGAAATTATGGCCAACCATGATCGTTTACCTGTTGAAGGTCACAGGACGTAAATTAATTTTGGTAATTTACATTTGAGCAGTAGATAATGGATCTGTTTGTGATAATGCTACTTTTTTTTAAAATTTTTATCGTTTTTAACTCGATTAATTTTCAAATTCTTACCTCCGTACAGTCTATACAGTATTGACTAAAGTGTTGCAAGGTCCTTACAACACTTTAGTCAATACTGTATAGACCTTACAGCACTTTAGTCAACGTTTACTTAGATAACAATTAATGAATGAGTTAAAACATCTTACCTTAAAAAGACGTCTGTCTGCTCAATGAATCGTTCAATTTTTGGCTTCGTTATCAGGAATTTTTTTGTTTATTCTTGGTTACCTAAATAAACAAAAAGCTTTGAACCGTACCGGAGAAAAATATCTGATATTTTCACCATAATATGTAAACTATCCCCCAAAAAACAAGCCATTATGGATCAGTGATTAAAAGTAACTAGAGCAGGAACTTTTAGAAATTCAACACCCAGCCTATTTTGATATTTTTCGTTCTTTTATTTTCAGTATTCCATATAATCTTGGTACATCTGGACTGACCAGAAAGTATTCACCATTTTCGTATATTTCTAGATACTTCATACAGTTTGACAACCAGAAAGGACCATACTACGCATGCGTGAACAGGGTGTTTCTTTTACGTGCCGTATCCCTTCAGGATCTAGATGATCGTGGCCCTCCACGTCTTCATGTCTCTTGTAGCTCTTAATAAGTTTTGGCATTTTGTTATTTCTCCCAAACCCTGTTCTACCATCCATTGACTCAAATATATTAAGAAAGATATTAATATTTCTTTTTCATTGGTTTCAATTTTGCTATAAAAGATTTCCCTTCTTTTTCCTTTCTTTTTCATTGGTTTCTTTTCAGCTATAAACGATTTCAATTCTTTTTCATTCGATTCATTTTAGCTATAAACGATTTCAATACTTTTTCCTTCTTTCTATTTCATTCGTTTCATTTTAGGTATAAACGATTTCACTTCTTGTTCGTTCTTTCTTTTTCATTCGTTTCATTTTAGCTAGAAAAGATTTCACTCTTTTTTCCTTCTTTCTTTTTTTATTCGTTTCATTTTAGCTAAAGACGATTTCCCTTCTTTTTCCTTTCTTTTTCATTAGTTTCAGTTCAGCTATGAACGCTTTCACTTCTTTTTCCTTCTTTCTTTTTCATTTGTTTCATTTTAGCTATAAACGATTTCACTTCTTTTTCTTTCTTTTTCATTCGATTCATTTTAACTATGAACGATTTCACTCCTTTTTCTTTCTATCTATTTCATTCGTTTCATTTTAGCTATAAACGATTTTAATTCTTTTCCATCTTTCTTTTTCATTGGTTTCATTTCCTCAAGAAATGATTTCACTTCTTTTTCTTTCTTTTTCATTCGTTTCAGTTCAGCTATAAACGATTTCAATTCTTTTTCCTTCTTTCTTTTTCATTCGTTTCATTTTATCCAGAAGCGATTTCACTTCTTTTTCTTCCGTTCTTTTTCCTTCTATTCCTTTCAGCTAAAATTGTTTTTACTTCTTTTTCTTTCTTTTTACTTAGTTTTATTTTAGCGAAAAACGATTTCATATCTCTTCTTCTTTTCTTCGATTATCACCTTTTCTTTCGATTGCAATTGTTTTCAAATCATTCATTTAGCTATTTTTTTTCTTTCTCTCTTTATTTCTTTCTCCTTTTTGTTTTTCTTTTTTCTACATTTGATTTCAACTCTTTTCTTTCTTTCTTTCTTTCTTTCTTTCTTTATTTCTCTCATTTGATTCATTTGAGACTCTTCCTTTTCTTTCGGATTCAGTGATTTCAATTTATTATTTATTTATTTCTTTTTTTTCCTTTTTGCTCCAATTGATTTAATTTCTCTGTCTCTTCTTTTCGTTTCATTTTAGCCGTAAATTATGTAATTTCACTTTCTTTCTTTCTTTCTTTCTTTCTTTTCTTTCTTTCTTTCTTTCTTTCTTTCTTTCTTTCTTTCTTTCTTTTTTCTCTCTTTTCTTTCTTTCTTTCTTTCTTTCTTTCTTTTTTTTTTTCTTTCTTTCTTTCTTTCTTTCTCTCTTTCTTTCTTTCTCTCTTTCTTTCTCTCTTTCTTTCTCTCTTTTCTTTCTTTCTTTCTTTCTTTCTTTCTTTCTTTCTTTCTCAACTGTTCGTTTAATTCTGTTTCAGTTGATCTTATTTCTCTCCTTCGTTCACTCATTCAGTCTTTCTTTCTTTCTTTCTTTTCTGACCTCTTTTGTATAAACTTTCAAAGTACCATCTATGATTCAGTACTTTTAAAGGTTTTCACCTGTGTTATTAGCTTACCCCGAATTCCTTACAAACCGATTGTCTGTTTCTTCAAACTGACCATCTCGATGTATCTTTCTTCCACTCCTGCCCAAAATAAGTCCGCTTTGAAAGAGAAGAGGAAGCAAGTAAGGAAGGAAGGAAGGATGGAAGGAGAAAAAGAAGAAGAAGAACATGGGAGAAGAATAAGAAAAAAGAACACAGACAAGGAGAAGAAGAAGAAAAAACAAAAAGAAATCAGAGAAGAAGAAGAAGAAAAAGAATAAAAGGGGGCAGAGGAGGAGATTATAACTATCAGGGAAAACAGGAAGAGGGGAGGGAGTTCAACAGGCAAGAGGTGCGAGACATGAAGCTATTGCAGTAGAAGAGACGGCTACCTTTAACAGTTTCGACAGTGAAAGGGTGAGAGCGAGATGTCGGCCTAGTTGAACGCTTAAATTCATGAAGTCTGGGAAGCAGCGAAAGCAACTCACCGGAGCAGTTACCATGAAAGTATTTGTAAAATAGACAGAGGGAGGCGACGGCATGTCTGCGAGAGAACGACTGCAGAAGAGATGCCAGATCAGGGCCAATTACGTTGCATATCCGTCTCTAAATGCTACTAGCTTAAATTGAATGTTACGAACGTCGGAATATGAATAAATGGGGGGTTCTCTATATGTATATGTGTGTGTGTGTATATACCCTGTGTGGACACAAAGTTCAACACCAAATGGCAACCTTCTGCTTCGAACATGAACTCAATGTTTAGACTTGAAGATTGCCTTCGAACATGAAACAGACTGTAGACATTTGGTGTTAATTGCTTTGTCCAAACTGCTTATATTTACATACGTTCTATCAAGAATATTGAGCACTTTTACACTATAAATATAGCATACTTTCATTCGATATTTTATCACACACACATACACACCCATACTTATACATATACATACATACATACATACATATATATATATATATATATATATATATAAGTAAGTACATATGTTGGTTTGACACCCATAACATTATCATTCTTTATTTATCGGATACAAGTTCTGTTGCACAACATTTAAAAACACGTTCATGTCACCTTCGCAATATACAACAAAATACTTTTTGACAACACCACGAAAATACTAGAATCCCTCTATATCAAAAGCAAGCAACCAACACTGAACAAAATTTAGTACAAGCGTAGCAGTGACGTGTTGAAGTGGACTTAAGAAATATTTAATACCATTTACATTTCTACCAGTTTCTGATTTGCTCCCTTGTACTGGGTCAATTTTTTGGCAGAAAAATCCGTCAGTACAACAGTTAAATTTTAAAATTTCAAAGTAATTGTAACAGTATACGTTCACTCGTTTCTTTTAGATACCACCAGCATAATGATCACAGTTTGTCTTTGTAATTCCTCATAAAGGTGTTCTTGGAAGACACGGAAAGTGCTTGGGTAGGAATAAACTACAGCGCCTTCCTTGAGGAATTTCATCTTGACATCAAGAAACGGATTGGAGAGCTATAAAGGATTATTATAAAAATAGGCATATGTCTATATTATTCAATGAAACATCTTTGACTGAAGGTATGCCACCTACATATATATATATATATATATATATATATATATATATGTGTGTGTGTGTGTGTGTGTGTGTGTGTGTGTGTGTGTATTTATGTAAAAGGAAAAACACGACAGGGATCTGATTGTAAGGTGGAAAATTTTTAAAAAGTCAAAGCCTTATAACAATCCTAAGATTTGCAACCTCTGCCAACAGGAAAAATTATCAATTATGACATTTATGGATCCAAAGAACCTTTTGAACCAGAAATCCAAAGTTTTGAGACTTTGCTTACATATTAAGAAATTCCTCTAAAACATATATGAGGATGGATAAAAAATGTACATTTCTATTACCCACCGCCGATACATTTATAATACCCTTGCTTTTCTTCTTCTTCTTCTTCTTCTTCTTCTTCTTCTTCTTCTTCTTCTTCTTCTTCTTCTGCTCCTCCCCTCCTCCCTTTCTGTTACACCCAACGTCGTGCGCTTGTCTATTTATTTAAAAATTAATATAGCGTTCATTATTTTTTCCTTAATTTATATATATATATATATATATATATATATATATATATATATATATATATATATTATTGTGTGTGTGTGTGTGTATGTGTGTATGTGTGTGTGTGTTTGTGCGTAAACCCGCTTTCTTCATGAAGAGGTTGGCAAAGAAATTGATATTAATGTCTGTATTACATTCAGGATAGTGTTATAATATCTACAAAGCAAAAGCACTCTTACTGATTTTTACTACAGCAATGAATGTTATTGAGAATCAACAAGAAAGGGCTTTGTAAATGGCTGGACGTAAATGCTATCGCCTGTGACGCAATTAACTTATATGTATAATTCCCGGTTTTACGTTACTCACCTACAGAGAAGATTTTCGATGCTATTATTCAGAGTGATTCCTAATAATAGAAAATAACTTAGAGGTTGGTTGATCAAATCTAGTGATTGACGCACAAGTAAATCAAACCTGTCATGAATAGAATTCAGTATTAATATTAGCATCAACTCACTTTAGGATTAATCGTATATTAAATCGGAAATAAAGCTTAACTCGAGAACTGACGCTTAAAGGAAGGTTTTTGCAGCAGTATTATCTCCCTTAGTTCTGCAGTTATGGTTTCAAATTACATCCGGTAGCAAGATCTCTGATCAGGAGACTGAAAGTTTTCAGGATCATGAAACCACCTCTTAATTTCTTTTGTTCCCTGATCCACGCTGTCTCGGGAGGAATTTTCTAATATGTAAGCAACGACTCAAGACTTTGGATTTCTGGTTCAAAAGGTTTCTGGGATCCGGAAATGTCATAATTGCTGTTAGGGTATCAGCTATTGACAAATAGTAAACTCCCACACAATAAAAACAAAACACTGAGAGTAAAAATGCATTTGTATATTAAAAATGCCAGCAATACATTTTTATCTAAAAAAGAGATAGCAAAATGACCATCAATACATTTTAAATGCAGTTAAAGCCTTAAAATTGCGTTCAAAATATTCAAATTGAATCCATAAAATTGTGTTCAAAATATTTACATTTCGGCATCAAATAATCTATAAAGGTTGATATGTCGCTAAACAAAATCAACCAATCATCAACCTTGAGCAAAAGGAAGAGACATCTTGTTAAAAACACAATTTGCTTTATTTTTACTATGAAAGTGTAAATATTCGACAATGATTTTTGAAATATTAACTATGGCCTTGAATACGGGACAGTCTCTGTTCATATGCGCTCACGCAAATGCAGACCCAGACACGCCTACACATATGGAAAAATGCATTAACACACACGTATCGTGTTTTGATGATTGTACAGATGAAAAACTCCCAAGAATACTTCAGAGCTCTCTGTCGTCAGGTCACTTAACTGAAAGTATTTCAAGAGTGCTGCTATTGTATCTTATCAAGACATAATTCTTCGCACCGGATGTTTTTAAATATCTCGATTCCTGAAAGAATTCCTATTTTCCCAAGCCAACATACATGACTATAAAAATGTAAAAAAATTAAAAGAAAATGGTTAAATTTATAATTTTCTTTAAAATATGTTACACAAAAATTAGTCCCAAATTAAAACAACTTAAATACAAATTTGCATTAAAATTAATTCCAGAACATCTTTTACTCACTTTCATTTATGAGACATTGAATTGTGTCACTACATGTCCTCCATAGCTTGCCTAACCTTTTCAGCTAACCTGATGAATATTTGTGAGCGTTCTCGAATTCAAAAAATTTAAAAACCATTAACATTTATGCTCTTGCATATAAATACTTGTTACAAAACAAAACCCTTGCATTTACCTTTTTCCTTCAGAGGATGAAACGCGTCAGCTGAGATAAATCTTTCTTTTATCTTTATTCATATTGTCCTTCAACAAATATATCTGAAATTTTATATTACATAGAGAGACTAAACAGAGATTTGGGTTGACTCAGAGAGTATAATTTCTCACAAGGAACCCAATTATCAGCAACACCACTCCTCGGATATGTAGGCTCTCCAGTCATATTTTAACACCAAGTTTTAACAGCCATCACCTACCCACTATATTTTAACAGCCATCTCCTTTTTATGTTCTGACATCTATGAATTACCTTATTACGCACGCTTCAGTAATGGAAGTATTGCCATATACACTGAGGGCTACTTTCCGCTGACCCCTTCTGGTACGATCTTTGGTTCTGTTACTATAGTTCCTTTACATATAAGCTTATGTAGGGTGTATGGAAGGTTAGTGTAGATACATATTAATGTTATGTGCACTGATGTACACACGCGCATCTATATATGTATACGTTTTTTTTTGTACCCACCATTATTTTAACCATAGGTTTCCAAATTTTATCCTTTAGTTTGTTCCTTCTTTTTTTCATTTTCATTTTATTTCATTTAAATATATTCCTTTGCTCTTTCTCATTCTTTTGTCTCGACTGATGTTATTGTAACCACATCCCATCTTTCTGAAATTGGCAAGTTATCCTAAATACATACCGTCTCACTGAAATTGACAAGTCATTCTAACTACAGCGCGTCATTCTGACATTGGGTCGAACAGTTTTCAGCTAGGCTGTCTACACGCGAGACATCTTCTCCACTACGCAACTTATAACTCTCTTCATCTCTGTTTACAATCTTACTCCACCACTCCCCCTACTAATAAGAATAGAACAGCCTAACGCTTTTACACCGATACAAATGTTTAATTTAAGTTCATTTTCAAAAGATTTTTGCACAGCGAGGAATCAGACAGAGATCATGTTTTTGCTAATAATATGATATCCACCAGAAACTACACCGTCCGCAAAAACATCTGTCAGTGAGTAATTCCCATTTCTCTGTTTATTTCTCGCCCCGTTCTTGTTTTATTAACTAACTTACCTATTTT